TCTTAGCAGTGTTGAGAGATTTATCTTCTAGCTCACTAGTTCTGGCTTCTATCTCTTCAATTCTATTCCTTTGCCCTTTCAGTGTATTGTCCATTTCTGTTATTCTATTATTAATTGTTTGGACCTCTTTCTGTAGGTTTTGAATTGTTTCCAATGCTCTATGTATCTTATTTGATTGTTCCTGTAGCACTTTCCTGACTTCTTCCTCATTTTTCTCAACTCCATTGTATAGCATTTTGTTACATTTTATAATCATTTTTCTGAATTCCTTCTCCGGCATTTCCAAAGCCTGCCATCATCCAGTATGGAGTGTAGGTCTACTTCCAGCTCATTTGCCTCAGTCATTTTATCTCGTTTCTGGATGTGTGCAGATATGGTCATCTGCTTCTGGTTTTTGGGGGTTATTTGTGGACTTAATACTCAGATGGGTGTGTATTTTGGTATTTTTTATGCTTTCTGATTGCCTCCAGGTAGATGTGATCAGGAAATGGGCTTCCCTTTTCACTCTTCTTCCTGAGAAGCTTCAAGATGCCACTGTTGGTCATTTTGACGTAACTTAGGATTTAATTTTCAGCTTATTTCCTTCTTTGTCTGCTTGTCCCACTCTACAATCCCTGTTTAGGGCCTTTTTCTAGTTGTAAACAGTTCAGGGCCAGCTGTGGCCGTTTGGTTTTAATTGGAAACTGTCTCTTTAAATTTTGAGGAGATCTGTGCGCGTGTGTAGTAGAACCCTCCAAGAGTGGGGCCGGGGTGTCCACTAGCTCAGGCATCCCTATAGTTACCGGAATGGAGGTGCTCAGACATCAAGGGACCAATGAACAGATACCAAAAGAGAAGAATGTCCACACCTTTATCTCAGCGGTTCTGCCAGGCATCTGTGGCTGCTCCTATCTTTCCCCCACGTGGTCTCGTCCACGATGGCGGCTCCTGGAGCAACTGAGCGTCCTGAACTAGAAAGCAATAGATTTCTTGCTTCTGCCACAAATTCCCCCAGCTGTGAGCCTTCCGACCTTCTACATATTCCTTTATATGTGGTTCAGAGTTCTGGAACCATCCCCTAAGCCTGCTTGGTCAGGTATTCTGTGTTGTTGCTGGCGGAGCTCCTTACTGCACTTCCACCCCATCCGCCATTTTGTTTTTCTCTGGAGTGGAGTCTTGTGTGGCACTGTAAGATAAAGGGTGAACAGCTAACAGAAAGGTTGGCAGTTGAAACCCACCAGCTGCTCCTCGGACACCATATACAGGGTTGCTGTGAGTTGGTACCAACTCAGTGATACTTAACAGCAACAACAGCCAAATGAAAACCAAGTTCACTGCCGTCAAGTCGATCCCAGCTCACAGTGCCCTGAGACATAATCTTGGTCTCCATGGGAGATTGGTTCTGGGACTCCTCACGGATGCCAAAATGTGCCGATGCTCAAGTCCCTTGTTTCAAATGATATGGTGTTTGCACAGAGCCTAAGCACATTCTCCCGGGTACTTTACATCATTTCTAAGTTACTTATAACATCGAAGGTGACCCTGTATAGGGATTCCATGGGGCAGCTGGTGGGTTTGAACCTCCAGTCTTGTGGCCAGAAGTCCAGTGTGAATCCCACAATGCCACACCAGAGCTCCTGATACATGGTAGACCTTCTCCTAGTCTGAAGAGAGGTCAGGATCACAAGCCAGCTGGGAAGGATGAGTCTCGGAGAGGCCGTGGGTTGGCTACGTGTAATTTTTCCACAGGCACCACGCCGTGCTCCCGCTCAGCCTTCGTTTGAGAGATTGCTCTGACCACCACCTAGCCTTTTCCTCCTCAGAGATTTGTGATCTTTGACTGGTTAAACCCAGGGTGTAGGACCTGCAACTACAGAGGGCCAGCTGTAGTAGGAGTTTGCCAAGCTCCTTTTTAATCAGTAATTTTTAATTTAATTGTAATTTACTCAAGTCCTTTTTCAGTATCTCAGTACACAGAAAAAATAACATTCAGACTTTTAACGTTAAATATGCTTCAAAGTCTTTCCATATTTTGATATCAAATCATTTAAAATGAGACATGTTAAACTCCTTATTCATGTGAAAAGAGCATGAATGAAAATTCTCAGCAGAAAAACGAGGTGGTCCACTGGTGTTGAGTACTGTCAAGTCATAGCGACTCAGTGTAGGGTTTCCAAGGAGCGACTGGTGAGCTTGAACCTCTGGCCTATGTTCCAGTGCTGATCCTACAACAGCACATCAAGACTCCATGCACTGCTTCGCTTTCAAACCCTTGAGGCTCATCAGGAGCTGGCTAACAAGGTCGGCGTTGCTGGAGGTAAGGGAGGTACACCCAGGGTTTCTATGAGCATGTGTGTGCTTTTTCACAAACTATAGAAAGATTTGTTGTTGTTTAGTGCCGCTGAGTCAGTTCCAATTCTTAGCAATCCTGCGTTGGTCTCAAAAGAGTGGCTTGCGGGCTAGAACTACCAACAATGTGGTTCAAACTGACCCTGCGGTCCAGTGCTGACTCTTGAGTGCCCCACCAGTGGTGCACCAATTGCGGCGCATTTTATGTCACCAGTGAGAGAGAATTGTGGCTCATGACTGGTTCCAAGTTACAGTGTAGTTATTACTGGACTCTCTGTGTCCCACACGTGAAGCTGCCACACGGACGCAAACAGGATAAATGTTTACTGGATTGTGGTCAAAGTGTCCATGGAGACAGCAGGATATGTTTCCATATAAGCAGGTATTCTCTTGAGCATAAGTACATGGGCATTTTTAAAGTGACTTTTGCTTTTAAATTTTTCAGTTAAGTGTAAAACCTGTTTCTACACCTCTAACGTAACATTTTTCTGCCAGCGTGCTTTAAAGTGCAGTTCTTCATGTGCCCTTCTGTCTTCTCTAAGGTCAACACTGTTTAGCGGTATGCAAGACATCCACAGCTGTGTGCATGAGATCGCTGCCATGGTGGGCCCTGGTGGAGCTCGGGCATCTCACACAATTGTCTGTGTTTTGGTTTGTTGTTTTTTTTTAATGTTTTCTTGTGAATTATGTGATAGTTTACATGGGAGAACATTAGTTTTACATTCATTCTATCATATATCATTTCATTGCCATGGTTACAATCCCCTACATGCATCATCAACCAACCTAAGGGTATACCCTGCAAGCCTGCCCCCTACACTACCCCCGATCTTCAGCACACAGTTGGTCTCCCTCTCTGGATCTAAAGTCCCCAGCTGCTCCATCGCTCCACGTCATCATCTCTGCCTCCATTTCAGGCATCACTGCTTCTCTGGGTAGGGTCCCGCTCTCCGCTGTTCTCCATTGATGGTCCTAGGGACCTCCGCTCCTAGACTGGAAAGTTAATCACTCCCCTCCTTGATATAAAATTTTTACCTTTACATTTCCAACCCTCACAAGCAGTCCTGATAATAATTATTCACTATTGTATCACTAGAGACCTATCCGCATTTCATTGCATCAGCTCCGCCTAGACAGAATGGATACTACTCACTGGAGATTCTACCTTCCTCCATGCCCTCTGGATCTAGATTCC